ATATATATATATATATATATATATATATATATATATATATATATATATATATAACTATATATATATATATATATATATACCCAAACACACACACACTACACAGGGGGATGGGTGAGCTTCATCTGGAAGTATACCTGGAGCGTATCAAGCGCGAGTACAACTGCTCCGTAAAATCGGACAAACCCAAGGTCGCCTTCCGCGAAACCCTGGGCAACGCCACCAAGTTTGACTACCTACACAAGAAACAGAGCGGAGGTTCGGGACAGTATGGACGTATCATCGGAGAACTTATCCCTACCGAGGAACAGGACGGCGAGAACGAGTTTGAGACCAATACTGTGGGCCAGAATATACCTACTGAATACCTACCTGCCATTGAGAAGGGGTTTTTCGAGGCGTGCGCTGCTGGGCCGCTTATTGGGGCACCCGTTACTGGTGTGTGCTGGGGTTGTGTTCTGAGTGTATTGTATACATGAGTAGGTATAGTGAGTAGGTATTATGTGATACGTTCATGTGGCTGTGTATGAACTATTCCTACCGAATACCTACCTGCCATTGAGAATGTCTTCTTCAGTGCGTGCGTATTGGGGCAGCCGTTACTGGTGTGTGTTGGTGTTGTTCTGAGTGTATTGTATACTTGAGTAGGTATAGTGAGTAGTGTGATACGTTCATGTGGCTGTGTGTATGAACTATTCCTACCGAATACCTACCTGCCACTGAGAAGGGGTTCTTTAAGGCGTGGCTGCTGGACTTCTTATTGGGCTCATAATACTGAACACCCCTCTACCTACACACTCCTCTACCTACACACTCGAGATGCTGTGCTACGATTGTGGTATAGCTTACTTCGCATACTACCAAAACTACTTTGTGCATAAACCACAGGCACAAAGATTATTCCTATACGCCAGTTTATACACACCTCCTTTAATGCTACCGACTCGACCCACCACAGGCACAAAGATAGTTCTCCAAAGCCAGTTTATATACACACCCTTTAATGCTACCTGATATATCCCCGCCACAGGCACAAAGATGATTCTCAGAGACGGAGCCGCTCACGCTGTGGATTCGAATGAGATGGCGTTCAAACTGGCGGCTAAGGGCGCCTTCAGAACTGCTATGGAGGCAGGCGGTGCAATAATTCTAGAGCCCATGATGAAGCTGGAAGTGTCTGTACCGGACGAGTTCCAGGTTGGTGGGATAGTACATGTAAAGAGAACGGATGTGGAGGTGTATGTTTGTGTGATATATGTGGGATATTACATGTACAAGAGAAGGAATGTGGAGGTGCATGTTTGTGATATATACGTGGGAAGGGATGTGGAGGTGCATGTTTGTGATATATACGTGGGAGACGATAGGGGGATGTTTATTTAAATGTAGATGTATATGCTTGCGTCATGCGCAAGTGGAGAGATATGGTTTGATGTGTACTGAGGTCGATTGTATGGGATGTCAATTCATGTGTTTAATGTCTACACCCTCTATCTGCATATGTGATTAGTCATTTGTGATTGGTCGTGTATGGTTGGTCATTTGTGATTGGTCGTGTATGGTTGGTCATTTATGATAAGCCATTTGTGATTGGTCAGTCATGATTAGTCATTTGTGACTGATTGCTAGTTGTCGTCCGCTGTTTAAGCGTGTCCTATGCCCCCCCCCTCCCCCCCCCCCCCCACACACACAAATACGATTAGATGCGGATCTATATCGTTATCTACTATCTACACGCACCATAGCCCAAAGGAAACAAGTCACTCTAGCCGTCACAACCCGCTTATCATCATTATTATCGTACGCATAGTCTTACTCACCCCACCCTACCTTCATCCTGATTACCTCGCTACCTCTCTAAATCCCTCTACCCCTCATCCCCATGACCCCTCAACCCCACCTTTTCCCAACAGGGTGGTGTAATGGGAGGCCTTAACAAGCGCAAGGGAATGATCAACGATACTGATGCCTCGGACGGCTTCTGCACAATCACTGCGGAGATCCCATTAGCTAATATGTTCGGCTACTCTAGCGAGTTGCGGTCGAGTACTCAGGTAGGGGTGCACACACGTTCGGGTTTACAGCGATTGTAGGAGCAGCACGCATGTCACGCCTAAGGCAAACCTCTGGGATTGACATTCTCGTTTTGTGTTTGGGCTGACACCTACTCCTATATACTAAT